AGTGGTGGGACCCTCCATGCTTTGGCCGGGCTTCAGCAGCTCTGTTGGGTGCAGCTGAGGACAGACTGCGCTGGGAAGGAGTGAGTGTATCATCACTTGGTACCATCTTTCTTTAGAGCCCACGTCCCTTTGAAGGTTGGTGGTCTGTCCACCAGGTTGAATTATGTTCTGCTGTGCAGTGCTCTACCTGACTCTTCCCCTCCTAACTCTCCTGTACCCGATCACACTATATCACTGGGCTCTGGGCATTGTTGTCATTAGAGCCTTTATGTGTCTATGATGGCCCAGCCACAAGTGTTTTGCAGGGAGAGCCAGGCACACATTGCCCAGCAACTTTAAGGTGAGATGACCGTAGCCCTGACTGATGGGCAAGACCAGGCATCTCCTGTTCTCGACATGCCATAGTAGCTGTCCCACAGCTGAATCCCCGTTCCTCCCCAGGCTTGGCAAAGCAATGAAGCCCCCCTGCTTTTAGGATTGGGCACAACTGCAGCCTGCAGAAGGCTGGTGCCAGGCTGGGTTTTCTGGGCCCTCTCCTGCCCTCCATCCCTTTCCCCATTGTTTTACTGAGCTTTCTGTTGAGTTCGGGCTCTAAGAGCACTGGTGCTGACTTGTGCGGATGGAACATGGAAGAGTTGACAGATTCAAAGCCTCAGAAACTTCTCAGCCAGGTCTGTTGACTTCCTGAGGCACTGAGCAGTGGGCCCAGGAAATGCCAGGCAAATAGCTGCACGTGAACCAGGCTGGGCCAGGACCCTGTGCCCCAACCTGAGGACCAGATGTCTCTGGAGGGGCCTGAGACCAGAGTGGCCAGAGCCTCATCACCAGCAAGCTCATTATGCAGCCAGGGTCCCTTGGAGAGGCCCCCAGGGAGCATTTGTGGATCACTTGCAGGTATGTCTCTGGAGGGATCACGTCAGAATGACTTGAGGGTGGGCAGATCACCCTGTACATCAGACGTGGGCGGGGACAGGAGAGCCTGTGCCCGGGAGCTTTGCCTTTGCCCACCCTACTAGTGAGCCTGCCTCTTCACGGTACTTCCTCCTCTTCGACTTGGAGAGCATGCAGGGGGTGTTCAGGAAGGGAAGCAACCTCACTCCCTTCCCCTGCCGGCGTCTTTTCCTCTCCCTGCCCGTCTGCTCCCATCCTTCTGTCAGCCTGCGTCTTGGAGCAGTTCTGTGCTGTTTGCTTGAGTTGAATCCTGAGTGGTGCGGGCAGGGTCATGCTGAGCCTACTCATCATCTGTGCTGCAGCTGCTTCCTGCAAACTGTTGTCTAGACTATGCCTGTGCGTAGGTGCATAGGCAGCATCTACACAGATGTGATGTGTCTCCGTGGTGTTCTCCTGAGAATGAGGAAGAGAGAGGAGGCTTAGTGCTCTGGGGAAGACAAGTACAGGGTCAGAGCCATAGTGATTCCAACTTACTGAGGCAGCGAGCAACTCAGGACAAATATGGGGCCGCTGAACCTGGTAATAAACACCACCAACTAGAGGGAGGGCATTGTTCATTCATGGAGTGTCTGCCTGGCCAGGCATTGGTTTGTGATGGTTTTATATATATGTATATGTATTTTTTTTCCTTGTGAAATTTTTTTAGTGGTAGTGTAGTTTTTCTAGTGGTGAGGGGCAGACATTAAACATATAAACACACAAATACATAACCACAAAATCTAGAAAGTGCTATGAAGGAAAAAGGTACTGTGAGTGAGACTAACTGAAATCAATTGGTCATGAGCCTATCAAGGAAGACTTCTCTGAGGAAGTGATATTTAAATTGAGAGGGGTGCATAGGAGTTAGCCACGCAAAGAACAGGAACACTGTACCAGACACATTACTGCCCAGCTTTTGAAGATATTTCTAGAAGCAACTTCATTCTTTGTTTTTGTGTGAATGACATTGAATCTGTTTCCAGCATGAGCCCATTTGGCAAAAGGCCCAGGTGAGCCTAATTATGGTTTCCGTTCCAGCAGGGGACTATTGGGGCCTACTGAGTTACAAGGTTCTAGTTACTCTGAGAATTAAGTCACGGCTCCGCTTCTCAGTTAGCACAGCTCTGAAAACATATTGTGGTTGATGAGAGGTGAGTCCAGTAGATTAAACTAGAAGTGCATTGGATCATCTCTTCTACTTTCCAGTTCACTGCATGTAATCAGTCCCCTAGGATTTAGAAGAAGGACCAAAACAATAGCATGTGAGGAAAACTGTGTCCTATGTTGACTATAACCTTAATATATAAAGACCTCCTAAAAGTCTATGACAGTACTATACACATAACAATAAAAGTAGAAAAAGAATATTAAAAAATTCATAAAATAAATAATATAAGTAAACATATAAAAGAAATTCAACTTCAAAAATAATAAAAGAATTATGAATTTTTAAATGATATGTTTTTTGTTACCCATCAAATTGGTTATTTATTTATTTATTTATTTTGAGTTGGCGTCTCACTCTGTCACTCAGACTGGAGTGCAGTGGCCACTCCTGGCCACCGCAGCCTCGACCTGCTGGGCTCCGGCAATCCTTCCACTCAACCTTCCAAATAGCTGGAACTACAGGTGTGCGCTACCACGCCTGGCTAATTTTTGATTTATCATAGAGATGAGGTCTCACCAAGTTGTCCAGGTGGGTCTCGAACCCACGGGCTCAGGCAATCCACTCACCTCAACCTCCCAAAGCACTGGGATTACAGGCTGAACCACCAAGCCCGGCCAGCTATCTATTTTTTTGAGTCGGAGTCTCACTCTGTTGCCTAGGCTAGAGTGTAGTGGCACAATCATGGCTCACCACAGCCTCGAACTCCTTCCTCAGCCTCCTGAGTAGCTGGGAATACAGGCACATGTCACCATGCCTGGCTAAGTTTTTGATTTTTCTTTTAAGAGATGAGGTCTCACTGTGTTGCCCAGGTTGGTCTCAAACTCCTGGGCTCAAGCAGTCCTCCTACCTCGGCCTCCCAAAGAGCTGGGATTTTATAGACATGAGCCACTGTGCCCAGCCAAACTGACCATTTATAAGAGTAAGGAAATAGTCTTAGCGCAGCTTCTGGGACTCACTCTCCTACACTGCTGACGGGACTATAAATTGGCACAGACATCCTGGGAGCAGGTAGTGTATCTCAAGCACCCTTAAAAACATGCACCCCAAGTTGACTCTGCAGTTCCACTTCTTGGAATTTATTGTGAGAGAAAGAGACAAGTATGACAAGACGTATATTTGTGTGTGCATAACTGTTCATTCTTTTTAAATAGAAGGCAAGGGAACTGTAGCTATCTCAAGTGATGCTAAAGAAGAATATTGTCATGCAGGGCTGTTTACTATAAAATTCACCCTTACACACCTGTGCGATGGCTCAAGCCTGTAATCCCAGCACTTTGGGAGGCCAAGGCGAGAGGATTGCTTAAATTCAGGGGTTCGAGACCAGCTTGGGCAACTTGGTGAGACCTCGTCTCTACAATAAATTAAAAAATCAGCTGTGTGTGGTGGTACGTGCCTGTAGTTCCAGCTACTTGGAAGACTGAGGCAGAAGGATCACCTGAGCCCAGCAGGTTGAGGCTGTGGTGGCTGTGAGCGTGCCACTGCACTCCAGCCTGGGTGACAGGGTGAGACTCCAACTCAAAAAAAAAAAAATTCACACTTATAATGTATCTCAGGTGGAAGAGAAGGAAGCTTGGGAAATTTTTGTAATAATTTTATATACACACATTCACACATAAATATATACATGGGAAAAATCTGTTTGAATGTTAACAGCAATCACAACTGGGAGGTGAGATCATGGTACCTTATTTTCCTATTTCTGCATGTTTGTTTTTTCTAACATTTCTCCAGGGAATAACAGTTACTTTGGTATGAAGAAGAGAGTGACAGGAGAAGCTGGGTTCTGTTTTTGAGCTCTTTGCTGAAGTGTAACAGTTACACTCCTAAGGTGGTTGTCAGGCCACCACCTCTGGGCCACCTCTTGTCACTGCCTGCCTTACATTAGACACTCCAGCAACACAAATGACTTGGAGTTTGTTGCTTGTGACAGTGCTCAGTAAACTTCAGTAGTGTCTTTTAACTGACTCTTAAATGCACAGTACTTTTTTCCCTTAAAAATAACGAAAGGACTGGGCACCATGGCTCACACCTGTAATTCCAACACTTTTGAGAGGTGGGGGGTGGAGGGGTGCAAGGGGTGGATCACCTGAGCCTAGCTGGTTGAGGCTGTGGTAACCATGAGCGTGCCACTGCATACCAGCCTGGATAAACAGAGTGAGACTCTGACTCAAAAAATAATAATAATTAAAGAAAAATGTGAATCTAGTCTCACTCCATCACTCAGACTGGAGTGCAGGGGCCGCGCCCGGCCACCGCAGCCTCGACCTGCTGGGCTCCAGCAGTCCTTCTGCCTCAGCCTTCCAAGTAGCTGGAACTACAGGTGTGCACTACCATGGCGGGCTAATTTTTGATTTATTGTAGAGATGAGGTCTCACCACCCTCAAACTTCATGGCCTTAAAAAGCCCCTGGGCCTCATCCCATCCCAAAGGCCATTACAGAATGGCTCAGGAATGGCCGCCTCAGGTCATTTGGCCGCAGGTGTCTGGGAAGGCCTCACTTTGGCAACAGTTGCTTAAGAGAGGGGCTCATCTCAGTTGGATGGGCCTCTTTCCTCTTTGGTGGTCTCTTGGGGCTCTGTTTGGCTTTAGCATCTGCACAAAGGCCAGTTTTCCCCTCTCTGAATCTGACTGGCCCCTTTGTGGGGGCATACTGGCTTCCACCCCTCTGGCCTGTATGTGCTGCCATTTCTGACCTGTGCACATCCACTTTTAAAGCCTAATTAATCCCAAGCAAAGGACCTGGGTCCTTCATCACTGGGGACCTCGGGAGGAGGTGGTGGTTGCAGCAGAACAGCCTCAGCAACTGTGTGACGCATCTCAAGTCAAAGACTTGCAGGCTGGGTCAGCATGAGGAAACTCGCTGACTTACTCAGTGAGAAGGGATCTTTTCTGTCTTGTCTAGAGCTGAGAATGAAGCGGAGAGCATCAGACAGAGGAGCTGAGGAAACGTCGGCCAGGGCAAAGGCTCTAGGAAGTGGGATTTCTGGAAATAATGCAAAGAGAGCTGGACCATCATCCTTTGGTAAGCCTCTGACTGTCCGGTGGGTATGCTAGGGGCAGGGCACATTAGCTTGCTTGGTCTGGCCTGCAGAAATCCAGACATCCAGAGGTGGTATGGGGTCCTGCCAAGTCCTTGGCCTGGTCTCTAGTTCCACTGCATTAAATGGGGTATATTTGTATCACTGGAAGTTCCAAGCCTTAGGTCACTCTGTACCAAGGGATGTCAATTTTGTTGTTGCCACACTAGCCTTATGTCAGTCCCAACTGATAACTAGACTCTCTGTCTTCCTCTAGAGAAGTATACATGTGCCCCCAGGATGCTGATGGCCCCATGGGAAGCACACAGCTGCATTAGAATCCTCACCCAAGGCACTGCTTTGACCAATCTTGGGTGACCTGATTAATTTCACCAGGCATTTTGCAGAACCCCACAGACTTCTTCAAATTGGCACAGACGTCCTGTAGAGTGGGTCTCCCCAGTTGTCAGAGGAGCAGCAGACCTTTCTGTATGAAGAGTGAGGGCTAGGAGTCCAGATTGCTTCTGATCAGAGCTGCAGGTGGTGTGGGCTCCAAGGACCCCAGCCAGAGACTCGGTGTGAGTTTTGCCTTGGAGCAGCATTTTGGACTTATAGGCACAGAATAGTTCCAGCTCCATTTTTCAGCAGATAGTTCATGGTGCCTGCCATGTGCCAGGCCTATGCTGTTTGCCAGGGATGCAGCAGTGAGACAGACACCTGCCGTCACAGAACTAAACATCCTTATTAGAAGAAGAAACAGAGTGAACAACACACCAGATTGTCACTAGTGGTACAAGAAGGAGGTTAACAAGATGCTGTGAGATGAGAAGGACCTACAGGTAGTGTAGACAAGAGAGGCCTGTAAGAGGAAGTGACACCCAACAAGAAGGAGCAGCTATGAAAAATGCAGGGGAAAGCCTTCCAGACAGAAGAATGGCAAGTGCAAAGGCCCAGAGGCAGGAAGGAGCTTACCATGTTAGGAATTAGGAGCCCACTTCTATTGCTATATAGCTGGTGAGAGCAGGGGAGAGGACATGCCCAGTTAGAAAGTTGGGCAGAAACCAAATCATGCAAGGCCTTGGAGGCCGAAGAAAGGAGTTGGGTGGGATGTTAAGAGCAGCAGAGCTTTGTTAAGGGCTTTTCACAGAGTGGTGGCACTGGGGCAGAATCTGAGTTCTGCTCTAGCTCAGGCAGGGTACTGTCACAGGACAGTGAGCACTGTGCATCTCCAGGAGTATGAAAGGTTCCTGGGGCTAGCACTTGAACAGGGACTGGGTGGCCATATTGGAGTCACCTGGGGAACCTGTTGAAGCTGTAGCTTCCAGATCCTTTTTAACAGATGTCCTCCTAGGAGTCCAGCATATGCTATGGGTTGAGAAATGTGCCTACAAAGCTGATTGTGTCTTGGCCAGAGGCATACATGCCCCTCTCTAGTTCGGAGGGGAGACTCTGGGGGGATCAATCTAGTGGGCATGAGCTGTGATACTCCTCCTGAACAGAAGACCCCGTCTGAAGACTGTGTGGTGCCCTGGCGCCATGACAGCCAGGGCTTCTGAGAAGTAAGCCCACGGCCCTCTGTGCCATAGGTCCCCATCTGGGCCACTTACCAGTGCCAAGTATTGTGCAGTGTTTGGCAAGGAAAGATGGCACAGATGACTTCTACCAGCTGAAGGTGAGTGAAACGTGGGGTCAGGGGTGCCAGGGACAGGCCCTCTTGCCAGCCCAATCCTCCCTCCTCTTCCTTCACACCTGCACCACCTGTGAGCAAAAGAGCACTCTTTCTTCCTGCGAAGCAGTCGAGTTCACACTGTCTCACAACAGCTCCTGATTTAAAGAGCTTTGTCTGTGTATAAATTACATTGCCGTCGCACGGAGAAACACTGTTTTGCTTGGCATGTTTGTGTGTGGTGCACACGTGTTGTGTGGTAGAAAGCCCCCTGCTTCCCCCGTTCTCGTGGTTCTGCTGTGTAAAGTGAGGTGTTGTGGTTTTGCTTTCCTGAAGATCCTGACCTTGGAGGAGAGGGGAGACCAAGGCATAGAGAGCCAGGAGGAGCAGCAAGGCAAGATGCTGCTGCACACCAAGTACTCACTGCTCTCCCTCCTCCACATGCAGGACGGCGTGGTTCACCACCATGGCCTCTTCCAGGTGAGCAGCCTACCCTCCTGCCCCACCCCCCCAGCTGGCTTGGGACTGGCTCTTGCTGGGGCCACAGATATACTGTGAGCAGCTCATGACATGCATCATCCTTCACACTGCCCCCATCCTCTCTGTGTCCCTGCCATGCTGAGCACGAGCACATCAGGCTTCCTGGGGAAGGGGGGTGGAAGCAGGAGGTCAGGCCAGGGCCATGCTCGCTGTGCTCCTGTGGTGATGGTCACAGCCTAGCAGGAATGCACACAGTTTGCTTCTTAGAACAGCTGACTTTCTTTGAAGGGCCGCTTTTCAGAGGAAAGCAGGAAGTCATTTAAAGACACCCATGCCCTTTTCAGCTGCGTTGTCAGGAGCTAGCTGTGTTGTCAGGAACTGGCCAGGCTGGCATGGAAAGGAAGGTGATGAGGAAGAATCAGCATTCGGGGCCACCTGTAGATCTCCACAGTTGTTTTGGGGACCAACTGCCGTGTCTACGCAGGCATTTCAGCTTATTCGGCAAATGCCCCTGAGCTCCCTTGCTCAGACGTTCCAGTATCTTAGGAAAGATACTGATCAGACCTCATACCATGAAAAGAGCCATCCTTGGGGCAGAACTGCAGTTGTTTCTCTAGAAATGAAGAGTTGGGTTCAGAATGACTGGAGTCCTCCTGCTGTGGCCTGGGTGCAGCCCCTCTCCTCAGCAGAACTTCTGCTGAGCCTGGCCAGGCCCAGCTCTTGCCAAGATGGGCCTGCTGTATGAGAGGCAGCAGAGTGATAGAGGGAGCACTCAGCTTTCCATGCTGACAGTCCTGGATTCAGGGGCTGTGACCTCGGGCAAGTCACGTCAGGTCTCTAAGCCTCAGATTCCCCATCTTTAAAATGGGATGATGATGATAGCACCTCCATTGTGTGGCTGCTGGGAGATGCACCAGGGTGAAGCATGGAGCTGCTGTGGGGACGTTCTCCCCACCCTTGGATTTCAGACAGTGGAAAACTCCTTGTCAGCTTGATTTCCTGAAATAAAACAAATGGAAAATCCCTTCCACCTCACGAACATACCCTGCCAAGGTCTTGATCCTTAGGTTTGCAGTTAAAGACAATTCGGAGTAGCATTAGGCAACTCTGAAAATCAGAGTGATTCTCTGAAACATGAAATCAAATTGAGGGTGATTGTGACTTTGTAGTATTCTGTCTGATACCTTCAGAAGCTTGACCTTGGTTCACCTCATTCTGGACGAGACTTCCTGGTGAAAAGTGTTTCTGGCATACCATCTGTGCACCAGCCACTGTGCTGGGGCCCTGGGAAGAGCAAGCAAGAGGCGTGATTCTGCTCTTAGGAAAAGTGTGGGTATCTCGAACTCAGGATTTCCCCAAAGGGGACAGCTGGTCTAATGGGGATGATACCAAGGACTCCCTCAGGCTGGTGGGACGAAGTCTCCAGGTTGTTCCTATTTTTTGTCTCAGGAACTTGAAGTCAGTGTTGGTGGCAGTACCCACTGGCTGAGCCCTGCCTGTGGAGGACCTAAGCGGTGGACATGGGTGTTCTGATCTTATTCCCTCAGCCTATGTGGGAGGAATTGCTAGCTTCCTTTACAGATAAGGAACTGGAACCCTGGGGAGGTTATGCAAATCTCTTGCTTCCAAGAATGGGTGGGACTATTGCCTGGACCCAGCCATAGGAGGTCAGAGTCGTGCTCTTATGTACTGCATCCATGGAGAAAACTGTTGTCCTGGACATGCACAGCACCATGCGACCTCTGGAGCCTGCTGAGACTGACATCTCTTGAACTTCCACCATCTTGGATCCTAGAAGGAAGCTCCGTTGGTGATTGCTGAAATCTGAGTACCAAGGCAGGGAGGGGGCTCCAGGCCCTGGGTTTGCGACTTGTACACTGGGCTAGCTTGGGCTTTAGCTGCCCAGCTCTGGTCTGAATCCTTTGTGTTACTAACAGCATTAAGCCTTAACGTGAGGTGTTCTAACCTCAGCCCCCTGCTGGACCCAAGCCTGTCCTCCACCACCACACATGTAGGCTTATTCCAGGCTCTCACTGATTTGAGTGTCCTGTTCCAGGGAAGAGTTCCAAATCTAGGTCATGACTTTACTGGATTCCTAGCCAAGCCGTGCTCTACTCCCTTGTCTCCCAGGACCGCATCTGTGAGATTGTTGAGGGCACAGCATCCAGCTGAATGGTTAAGAAGGTGAAGAAACACATCTGCCTTGTCCTGGACTGCCTCAGTGCACACGACTTCAGTGACAAGACCGCCGACCTCATCAACCTGCAGTACTACGTCATCAAGGAGAAGAGGCTCAGCGAGCGGGAGACCGTGGTCATCTTCTACGATGTGGTTCGCGTGGTGGAGGCCCTGCACCAGGTGAGGCCACGCCCCCTGCCACATCACTGGACCACAGAAAGCCACCCTTCTTGCCACTGCTGGTAGAAGTTCAAGAGAGAAAGCAGCTGGCTGTGCTTTGCAGCTGCATTGTCCAGAAGGAGAGTGGCTGAAGGACAGGTGTACCTGGTGAGGCACAGACCACAGCCAACCTTCCAGTGAAGGCTGACCCATGGCCCAGCAGAGTCCTCTGGAGCTATGATGTCCTGGCTTCAGTGATGACGGCAAGATACCCACCCAGGTGGCCACCACCCATCTGAGCTCATTGTAGGATTGGGGGTGTCAGGCACCCCAAGACAAAGAGTAGGAGTGAGTCCAGGGGAAGGGAGGGGGAAGAGAAAGGGAGGGGGAAGAGAAAGGGAGGAGGGAGAGTGGAAGGAGAGGAGGAGAAGGGGAAGAGGAGGAGGTGAACTGGAGGAGAAAAGGGAGGAAGGGAGGGAGAGAGGAAAGGGAGAGAGGGACAGACACTTCTCTCTCCTCCAGAGAGCAGCTGGTCCTTCACCTTCAGGGGAATGGGGTTAGACAATGGCGTTAACTGTTTCTAGCTGTGAGGGAAGCTCGCTTCTTCCCTTCCATCAGACATCCACCATGAATGGGGTGGGATCAGATGAACTGTCATGGTTGACCTCTTGCAAGTTTTATGTTCCTTCTCAAATCATCCTCCTAACCCAGCACAAAGGGCCTTCGTTTGTCTTATAAGTACACAGCATGTTAAGAACCACAGTGGTGATAACAATTCCTTCCAGGTAAAAGGAAGAATGAATGAAGTTTTAGTAAAGGTACTTTAATGGTATCAGGTTATTTTCATCCCTTACTTTTTGCCCAATCTACTTTATTTCAGTGGGAGTAATAAATGCTCGCACAGTGGGGGTACCACAGCAGGAGAATTAACATGAAACAGCAAAAAATTCTGGGTAAGAAATAAGTAGAAAGAAGAAAGTTGTGCATCAGTGAATCTCTTTTTACACACTGACTCTGTGTCTCTTAGGGCTTGGAAAGCCAACTGAGAGTTTCAAATCCCACAAAGCTTCTAAATTTCAACATCCAGTAGGGACTCTTACATGGGACTCTGGAAAGAAGTTGTTTGAAACAGAACTGGCTGCTTCTGTAGGACAGTTGACTTACCCATGGGCACCTTTGTAAAGCTGTGCATTTCAAACATGGTATAAAAAGCCTGAGAAAGATAACTCTTGTGGAATTAATTTGCTGAAAAACAATATAAAACAGTTTTAAAGAAGAGTTTAAGGGGCCAGTATTTTTCAAAGTGAAACTGATTTTCCATTTCAGCATTAACACCGTTAAAAATGCTGATTGGCAGCCAACTGACATAGCAAGAGCAGAAGGGCCAGAAGTTGACTTGAGTACAGGTATAATAAAGATCAACTGTTTCACAAGGGTATGCAACTGATCTCCTATTCTAATTTTATAGCATCCATTTTGAAGTTACTTCAGATAGTTGAACTGTATTCTACACTGTCTTTTCATATCTATAATTGTGAGATTCTTATTACCACAGATTGTGTTGCAGAATTCCATTTTTATAAAGTAGGGAATACAGAACACAAACCCCTTCTTTACTTATTAACAGGGGTTCTAATAACAGGAACCACTGAAATGGAACTTTGTCGATTTGGTTTCTGTTTTAAAGGACTGAGAATAATCATCTTAGAAAAATAATTGAGGCTCCATTATGTATAAAAGAAAGTAGAGGAAACATACTTTGTATTCCTAACAGTTTGCTAATAGAAATGTTTGGATGAGAAGAAAATTCAACTAGTTAAGTAACTGTGCTTCTTAGGCTCTATTTTTATTCAAGAAAAAGCCTTCAGAAAATTAAATTGAACAGAGTTTAATTGAGCAAAAAACAATTTATGAATTGGGCAGCTTCCTGATCCAGAATAGGTTGAGAGATTTTGGCACTGCCACATGGTCAAAAAAGATTTATAGACAGAAAAAGGAAAATGACCCATAGAAAACAAATGAGGTACAGAAACAGCCACATTTGTTACAGTTATTTTGTTTTTTCCAAAAGGGTTTTTTTCAGGAAGGCACGTAGGAAGAGGGACAGGTAGTTGGTAAGCCAGAGTAAAAGAAAAAACTTAAGACAAATTAAGTTGAACAGAGTTTTATTGCGCAAAGAGTGATTCACCAATTGGGCAGTCTTCTCAACCAGAGTGGGCTCACGGGGACTCTACAGCAGCCACATGGTGGAAGAAAATGTATGGACAGAGAAAGGAAAGTGACATACAGAAAACGGAAGTGAGGTACAGAAACAACCAGATTGTTTACAACTGAGTGTGTACCTCATTTGAACCTGGTTTGAACAGTTGGCCATTTTTGATTGACCAAAACTTGGTGATTGGCACAAGAATAGGTTCCACTGTCTACATATCACCATGCAAAAGATTACAGATAACTCTCTAGGTCAACCCAAAACATGCAAGGAGACAGCTTTGGCCCAAACTTAATTTAATAGGCAAATGGTTACATTCTCATAAGACTTCAATTAGCCGGGCTCCGTGGCTCAGCCTGTAATCCCGTGCCTTTGGGAGACTGAGGTGAGTGGATTGCCTGAGCTCGCGGGTTCGAGACCCGCCTGGGCAGTGAGACCTCATCTCTACAAGAAAAGTTTTAAAAAATCAGCCGGGCGTGGTAGCGCGCGCCTGTAATTCCGGCTACTCAGAAGGCTGAGGCGGAAGGATTGCCGGAGCCCAGCAGGTCGAGGCTGGGCAACAGAGTGAGACTCCAACTCCAAAAAAAAGACTTCAATTAGTGCCCAGCAAACCTACATATTATGTAAGATAGAGTGAATGAGGAGCAAAAGACAGTAGAGCAAGAAGCAATTGTGCTGACATCTCCAGGTAGGTGGAAGAATGATGTCTCTTCTTGTCTTTGTTCTGCACCTGGGAAGATAGACGCTGTCTGTGTAATTGAACAGGCTTTGATTTTAGGAGCTAGACTTAGATTGTAGACCTGAAGTCACAACTGGTATGTCCTTGTTTTTGACAAAGAAATCATGCATAATTTATGCATAAATGCATAAATGATTTGTTCGGGGCAGTCACTGGTGGGTGCCCGAGGCCTTTTACCAGGCTTTGAGGATCTGACTAATGCACAGTGCTAGCAAAGGCTTTCATTTAGAAGAGAGTGTTGTGTGACTCAGCTTCTAGGTTTAGCCTTACTTTTTGCATAGCCTTTGGGGGCCCGAGATTTGTTGTTGTTGTTGTTGTTGTTATTCTCCTGTACATTTGCCTTATTTGAACACAGTTTGAAAAGTTGACTACTTTTGATTGGCCAAAAATAGGTTATGGTCTGTTTACACATCCAGTCAGGTTAGAGTTCACTACTCACAAAGAAACCTTTAGACTGAACTTGAATTATGTAAAGAGGCAGCTGTAGACTAAACTTATTTGAATACATTTTACCTTTAACTCACCTTGTTTCCTCACTCAGGCTTTATTAAACAAACACTGATTAAGCATTTACTATCTACTTGGCACTGTGTGAGGTATGAACAATACACAGATATATAAGGCATAAGCCTTCTCTTCATTCACTCACAGTTTAGAAAGGAATAAGGCTTTTACATCATTCCCATCATATCAGGCCAGCAAGTGTTATTCCAGTGGTGTGACCAAATTACAATGGGAGAAGAGGAGGAAGAAGGAATTATTTTAGGCCTGAAAAAGTCCAAAAAGACTGAACCCTTGCTACTTCCTGTTCTCAGAAACTAAATGCTTTCAGAAGACTATACAAGTAGAAGAATGGCAAGTCAGTCTTTTTAACTGTGAAATTGTCTCTGTGTGCATGTGTTTGTGTGCAATAGGGAAACAAAAGTCACTAACATCTAATTATTTAAATTCATTCTTTTTTTTTTGAGTTGGAGTCTCACTCTGTCGCCCAGACTGGAGTACAGTGGCTGCTCCCGGCCACCGCAGCCTCGACCTGCTGGGCTCTGGCGATCCTTCCGCCTCAGCCTTCTGAGTAGCCGGAATTACAGGCGCGCGCTACCACCCCGGCTAATTGTTTTTGATTTATTGTAGAGATGAGGTCTCGCCTGCCCAGGCGGGTCTTGAACCCGTGGGCTCAGGCAATCCACTCACCTCAGCCTCCCAAAGGCGCGGGATTACAGGATGAGCCACTGAGCCCGGCTAAATTCATTCTTAAAGAAATTTTTTAGGTCCAAAGACTATATACAAGGGAAACCCCCCCCCAAAAAACCATAATTATCTTTTGAAGGTTTTCCCCACTAGATAAGTGTTCTAGGAACCTATCGGCATCAGTGTACTAGCTAGTGTTGTTATGAGTGGCTGTGTTTGGCTTCAGTAAATTTTTTTTGGAGATTCTTTCAACACAGTTGCCCATTTTGTGATAGGTGAATATGCACACCTGCCCACATCACTCTAAATATTCATCAGTTTTTGACCCAAAATGACATGACCTTTATGCTCCCCCCCCCCAACTCCTTTTACCCAATCTCACCCTGAGCAACTTTTTTGTTTGTTTGTTTCTCCGGGTGAAAGAAGTCCTCAAAGGGAAACATTTTGCTGATGTGGAAGAGTTGAAACAAAAAAATGGCAGCAGTACTAAAGGGCATCTAAATTGATGAGTTTAGAAACTTTTTGAGCAGTGGACAAAGTGTTTCAATAGGTGTATTGTATCAAAGAGTACTTTGAAGGTGACTGAAGTTTACACATGTAAGAATAAACACACTTTTTTTAATAAAGAAATTCCAGGTTTTTTCGGTCCCCCTTTGTATAAATATACACAGATATGTATACAATTTTATATATGTAATTATATATGTGAGTTTATATATGTATCAGCATTTTATAATAATGAATATGACCATGCATATGTGCTTGGCTAGCTGTGAGATGATGTGTGCATTTGACACATAGCATTTTAAACTTCTTATAGCTAGGTGGGACATCAGAATTTCATTCAACACTTTCATTTTATACATGGAAA